TGTTACCCTGTTGTTAACACACTGCGCAGCAATGTGATCATAGGCACCGCATAATCGACAGGTACGTTGTTGCCCTGCGTAAGTCACCATTACTTGAGTCCTGAAGTCTTCTAGGAAAATATAGGAAGGAATAGGATGCCTCAATGTCATTTTTAAGGAAAAACTTCCTTCAGGCATCCCAGAATACGATCCTTCCTTCCATTTCCCCAATGTCGCCATATGAACAGTCCCAAACTTCTCGAAGACGGCACGTAGGTCTGCCTCATTAGCCTCAAAGGGTACATTTCTTATCTTCACCCACGTATAATGGCGGGACACATCATGTAGCCTTACCGTCACTGCAGGATTCACTGGTACACAAAGATCTTGGAACCTGGCGACTATGTCCTCATATACACTTGCATTGAGAAATTTCACAAAAATTCTATATGCCCCGTTCAAGGCTACACCATACAGCTCTTCGTTGGCAATGCCGTATGTGTCCCTGATGATGGCAGGTAATAAAACTTGAGCTGAGTGGGCATGCACAGCCCCACGCACCACTTCTATGCCGACAGTGTTTACCCTTCTTCTTGCCTGCTGCGCCATTTTGAGAAAACCAAGTTGTCACCGGCTGACAGCAGAGGGCAGGCTCAGCTCACGTCCGCTCGTCCCAAAGGTTGAGCGACGAATGCAAAACACACGAGGGAATTGATTGCCGTAACGTCATCTTCAGATTGACGGATCCCTCGGGCAGTCCCACATAAGCCCCTTCCTTCCACACTCCCAATTCCGCCGCATGAATCTTGCCATAACGACGGAAGACCGCAACCACATCATACTCTGTAGCTTCAAAGGGCACATTCCTGACCTTTACGTATGTCACATAGCTGGATACATCATGTAGACGTACCTCCACTGCTGCATTCACGGCCATCCTCTTCTCGTGGTACTTGTCAACTATGCTTGAGTATACCCAGCATTTATAAATTTGATGAAAATCCTCGTAACTCCGTTAACAGCCACACCATAAAGCTCTTCATTGGGTATCCCATACACATCACGAATAATCGTAGGGAGTAGCACCTGCATGGTAGAACTGCTTAGGGCCCCACGTATTAATTCCACACAGACAGTATTCACCCTGCGTCCATGTCTGTCCGCCATTTTGATTGCTCAAAACAGGCAAACTGCGCAGAAAATCAACTGAATCGGGAGCGCCTGCGCAGCACGTCCACTCGGCCCGGAAGCGAAGAGGACAATGAGAATGATTAATTAAACATTAATCCGTTAACGTATCCAGACGACGTTAGTAATTTAAGTAATAAATAATTACAAACATTTGTTGTATATTAACATTAGAGTCACAAGACATTAATATATCACGAACGAAAGCGTAGACATTTCACACCTAAACATATCTACACCTTTACCAGGTATATTAATATACACCTGCAATTCATAAACTATATCAATGATAACTGTACCACATAAGGACAGGTCGTATTACAATATTACGAAAGCACAGTTTATAAACAGGTATAAATTTATTTAAAACTGTATTTAGAAAATACAGTTCAACATACCTAAACCTTGAAAGTATTATCGTTAAGCAAGAACGTGTACACTTCAACGCATCAAAAAGTAATTTATATTCCCCTTACTGACGTAACAATATAAACAACATGTGATGTACAGTATATTTTAAGATTGCGTTAATCGGCCTCTTGACGCAAGTGTCGTCTTAACAGCCCTCACGCAGCTGACTGACCGTAAATTTAGTAAACTATGGAATTAACGTTGTGTTAATACTGCTCAAGTTACGTTACATTATCAGGGCTCTGATAAACTTGGTGCAGTTAGTTTAGTTTAAAGACTGTACGAGCGTTTATAAGGTTAAATATTACATTCTCACCAACCATCAAGAATACTTAAAATAGGGATTATATAAAACTTTGCTTTTTCATGTATTAAAAGATATGCATTTCTCCGTGTATAAACAATGAAAAACAAGCATTTCTTGGTTGGTATGTCTGTTAGTTGCCGTCGTAGTGTTAGTGTTAAACAAGCTCTCAGCTTACTGTACTCCAGCCAATTAGAATCGAAGGAGACAATATTGCTGCTAAAATGCTCAGCCAATCAAGTTCAAAGCGTCCTGTATAAAAGTGGTGTTCTGTGAGTTGGTGATCAGTGTTCTCTCAACAGTCGCGATGGTAACATTTACAAAAGTGACTTTTCTTTTTAGATTATTATTATTTTGAGAATTATACGAAATTAGTATATATTGTGATATATATTTATGATACAAATTCCACTAGTTCAGTATCGTAAGATGCATTTATATACTTTTACTCCAAATGCAAATTCATTCTTCCAGAAGTCTAAAGTCATCATTAAATTTCTTTTCAGATGGCAAGCATTATTCTTCTGGTCGTAGCAGTGCCTACCCTGGCATACGCTTCATTTCTTCCCAACGATGCCTTAGATGGCAGGGGTAACTTAAACCCTACCATATCTAACCCATTCTTACTTTCAACGTCTCGCAATCCCTTCCCTCCATCTCCGGCAGTACATGCACCACAGCAAGTACCGACTCAAGACGTATTCCCACAGGAACCCGCCCAAGATTTATTTCTACAATACACGGCACCAGTCCAACAAATACCTCTACAACCACAGTTACCCCAGCAGCCACTCTTCATCCCTCCACAAGAATTCCCCCAGCAACAAATACCTTTGCAACTTCAGCAAACTGTACAACAAGCATTTCCACAAATACCTCTGCAAGTATTTTCACAATCTCCTACAGAACAGGCTTCACAAATCGCTTCCAGCCAACACGCTAGTCGATTCCCACCTTCACGATGCGACCCTATTGCCAAACCTCTGGTAAGCACTTTCAATCATTACTACCTATACTTCCATATTAGAAGTACATCCTCTAATTTTCTTTCCTCTTTAGGTTGACGAAATTCAGGATGGTCGAGCCTACCATTTCTCCTGGTGTCACGATGGTGGACTTGCTTACACTTGGGAACACGCTGTTAATTACTGTGCTGCCCTTAGAAATGGCTTCCAAGCAATCAGTATAGAAAGCAGAAGAGAACAGAACTTCGTATCTAACATTCTACTTGCCTGTAAGTAAATCTTCTAATTCTTAAATAATTTTACCATACACTTACGAAAGGTAAATGAACGTTACCCTTTCAGATAATGTAGCAGATTCTTGGACTAGCGGCAACAAGTTCTCTACCTACTGGCAGTGGTTATCTGGTATATCTTCTTCCTACACAAACTGGTCTGTTACTGGCAGGTATGTCTAAAATGCATTGCCCTTCAATCACTAAGGCTTTATCCCAGCAACTTAGACATCAACAACCACTCCACAACTAATTAATTTTCCTACTTTCAGACTGGGTCTTCCTCAACCAGACAATGAGGAAGGCAACGAGCTGTGCCTTGCTGTACTGAACAATCGTTACAACGACGGTGTTACTTGGCATGATTTGAATTGTTTATCTCTAACACCAGTTATTTGCGAAACTGCAGTGTTTTATAATTAACTTCACTCTGTAATGATAATCTAAGTCTCTGGGTATAATAAATGGTTACATTTAGTTTACTAAGTCTTTGAATAACTGTCGTGACTTCTTATCCCGAGATTATCTACCAAATTTTTCTTAAATACTCGATTAACCTACAGGTAAAATCTGAACTTTTTACCCATTCTCCACAAGTTAGCCTCTCTGGCAGAGTAAATTTAAGAAGGACGACAGGATTTACTGATTAATCTGTAATTACACTATCCGTCCTGGAGCCCGCTACTAAACGTTAACTCAAATAGAACTCCTCTTAATGAAGAGGCAGCATAAGTGATAGTCAGCTGAAGATAATCTGTTAGTAGGTGCCCAATCCACGAAAGTGCCAATGGTAGTATCACTAATACTTGCGTACAGGTAGAAGGCCGAGAAACGAATAACACTAGTTTAGCTCTTTACGGGTGCCTACCCTAGTTGCCTTCTATACGCGGAAGGGATGTACGTAAGGTGTAACACAATTCACCACCAGCGACCGGGGAAAGTGTTAATCGGTTATATATATTTAAAATTATAATTAACTGCCAGCCCAGCCTATCATAACTCGACTCGCTGCCTGAAGTTGCCTATAATTTGTATGGAAGTTTAGTTATTACGTTAAACTACTTGCAAAAACTTAACTATGTAATGGTTAATGTAAAATGTAAGTAGCCTGAAGAGTTGCTAGAAAATCATTTTTATTAAACCTTACAAAAGTACAAAGGATGCATAATAAGTACAGGAATACAAAATAATCTTGTGCTACTAGTACCAGGTTATTCCCGGCTGGAACAAGGATTATAACACCTTGTTATAGCAAACAATACACGCTAAGACAAACCTCACTGAAGTATAAGTCATTAATAGTTGCCGCCAAGCCATTGTACCCACAACACATCAAAATGAAGCTTTACATAATTTAACAATATAAAATGAATACCTGACATGTTCTATTAAAACAAAACCAACATACAAATGTACATCACGACAAGATTACTAAAGTTTAAATTTTCACACATAACTAAAACCATAACCACCTTTACCACTATGTACTACACGTATCGTGTCAGTAAAGTAAAAAAAGACCCTAACCAAAGCTGTCATAACTAAAAGACAAAACTCTAACATACCCTCTATGACAGGGTACAGAGTATTGGTCGTTACATTAGATCCTAACCCAATAGGAATTCGAAGGAACGTAAGATTCCTTGTGCACAATAAAAATAGAGAAACAGTATTTTACTATTATGTTAACCCTCTAATACAATAATTCTGCTACAAAAAACAGAACATGTAACATACAATAATAAAAACCTAAAACAAATTTTTATAACAAACCTTGGTACATTAAAGGGTTTAAACCCAAACCCTATACATACATAAACCTTCCACATATGTATATAAACCGAAAATCTTGCCCACAAGACTTCGTTGGTATAACCCCATAACATGGTATAGACCCAAAACCTATACATAAATTTTTTCACATAGAACCTTCATTAGACAATAAGTTAAACATAAGACAAGAGAAGTAATAAGGATAAGGCTGCTGTAATTTGCCAGTCCCAAAAGAACTGACGCGTATCTCAAAGTAATTTTTTAAACAACTTGCCAATCCAATTACTTAAACGAGATCCTAAGGGCTCGGTATCCTGGCTATCGAGGAAATTTTAAAACCAGTGAAAATAACAATCAGGCTTAGAATTGTAACCCTGGAAACCACACTTGCATCTCACTATGACAAACATTCTCGTGAAACGTGGCGTACCATCCATACCTAATTTTCACTACCTTCCTCTTACACACTACATAAGCTCCAGAAAAAAACAAACAACCCCCCCCCCCTTTACATCCCCCCCATAAGGAGACCACTCCTTTGTCCATCCTCAGGGACCCCGACAAAGGGAACCATGAGGTTCCTATAACCTTCCGGGAAACTTTTTTTTCCCAGGACGCCCCATAAACCAGCAAATTCCTACACTTCGTCCTATAGAATCTAGCCACCAACGCTTTTATCCTCTTATCACCCCTCATTCCCCATGAAATGTCCAGATAATCCACTATAATTTACATTATAGCCCTTCCAACATCCCTAGGCACTCCCCTTACATTTAGTAGTAAAGCCCTTAAAAACTGCAAACGACACCCCCCCCCAACAGTCTGATAACCCCACCCATCCATGATCTCACCCCTCCAAGGAGGTACAAAAGACCACATGAAATGGTTTCAACATCGCCACAAAACTGAAAAAGCCTCTTCCACAAACCCCACACAACGTAACACCTCCTTGGAAGCCAGAATCCCCATGATAAAACTATACACTAATTCTTACTCTAGCCGGTATCTGAAGCTTACTAAAATCTTTCCAAATTACCCCCCCAATCATACGTTGGATACACGGCTACCTCTTGCATAATTCCCTGACCTTTCACTACCCTCGCCAACCTTTTCACTTTGATGTTATCCACCTGTTGCACTGTCAATAATAATCTCGACATATCTTCACAAAACCTCAATTCCTTCCCACTCCACCGTTTACATGCCTCCTCCATAACTCTTCCTACTATTGCTCCCCTCACACCCCCTTCCCTCGTATACCTCCGCTTGATACATGCAACCATTACTGTCCTAAAGGAAACAAACCTAAACCCCCTCTTCGAACATCCGTCATAACTACCTCCTTACTTAACCATGCCCTCCCAAATCCCCAAACAAACTTCAGCACCCTCTGCATTTCTACAATATCTCGTACCTCTAAGGGGAAAAAAACCTCTGCCACCCCCCCATACCTTGCTATAGAAAAGTGAATTTACCACCACTACCCTCTGATGTAATGCTAAGTCTCTCGCACTTAAACCTCCTAGTCTACTTAAAACCTTACCCGTGACACTCCGAATTTACCCTTCTGCATGCCTGCACTTCCGCCATATACCATATCCCACATACCCTGATTTTGTCAACGACTGTCCATCCTAACCCCATCCCCAAGCCCCTCCCTATCCAATTACCTACATCTAGTAACCTTGATTTCACCATATTAACTCGTTCCGGTAATCATACCAAACATCTGAATCACTCCACCCACCCTCCTTAACGCCTCCTTACCCCGTAGCAAAACAGTAGTATCATCCACATATCCAACGATGCCCCCTTTGCATCCCCCTTTCATCTCCTGTTTGTCCATCACCCGCTCAGACTCGTAAAAAGGATTCTGCACACACGCAAAGAGCAGCTGTGACATCGGACAGCCCTGCCTCAAACCTCTCTCCATTGGTACACTTCCACCCAACCTCCCATTGACCTGTACCCTTACCTCTGCCTCAGCATACAGGGTGTTCACCCACCTCACTGCCCCCTCCCGAAACCCCAACCTCTAAGCAAACCCCTAAGAAATCTGTCCACGCAATCATATGCATTCACCCAATCTAAACCTAGTGTTCCCCCTCCCGTACATCTCTCTAGAAAATCCCTTAACCCATGTCCATCCCTCCTTCCCGGAATTCCCAACTGCTCCCTATGTAACACTAAACCCAACACTTTCCTCACTGTTGCCCAAAACCTTAGCAAAAATCTTGTAATCCGAGCACATTAACGTAATCGCACGGTAATCATTCAAAACTCGGCATTCCTTCTTTTTGGGCACTAAAACCGTGACACCCGTTCTTTGCAATTTCCCCATCCTCCCACTACTTAACATACAATTCAAAACCCCCACCAGACAATGCTGTACACTCCCCCAATGACACCTATAAAAATAGTTTGGTATGCCATCTATGCCTGGGGTTTTACCCTGGCACATCCCAAAAACTGCCTCCTCCACCTCTACACTAATACTACCCTCGATTCTGTCACTGTCCTGCTCACTTAATACCCTATTAAACCCTTCATCCCCAAACCGTCCCTCGCCCACTCCCCCACCAACCCTCCTCCACTTCTCCCTAAACCAAAAATCTGCATACAAACTAATTTTCCGTGGTGGATAGGCCTTGACCCTCCTCAAAGCCACCCCCCCCCTGTACCTGCCTCAATATACACCAAGGTGGTTTTCGCCTGCCGTTCCTTAAACCTCCTTAACCCTTTACCGATGGCCTATCCCCCCTTAAAACATCCTCCAACCCTGCCCTAACTCGAATTGCCTCAAATTTTTCATTGTGAATTTCCGCCAACCTATTTCGCAAACCTTCCATGTCCTCACTCCGCCCCACCCGTTCCTCTGCATAAGTCATTTAACTGACCCTCAAGATAATTTTGTAGACCATAGCTCCACCTCGCCATCTCCTTACCCCGTACTTTAAAAAAAATCGCGATTTCCACTTTAGCCCTCATTTCCCACCAATCCAGAAAATCCATTTCCATATTCCTAGTCTCCCAAAAGGATTTCCACCAATCTTCAAACCCTGTAGGGTCACCCTCGTCCCTAAGCCTCACATTTAATTTCCAGTATCCTGCATAAACTCTCACTATGCCATCTACCCTCAAATCTGCTATAACAGCACGATGATCAGAAAAACCCACATCGATAGTCCTCACCCTCTCCACACCTATGCCCTGCCAACATAAATCCTATCTAACCCTGCCTCATAAACCCCCACGATAAAAGTGTGCTCCACTCCATATCCCCTACTTCCCACCACATCTAAACCCCTCAACATCTCGCAAAACATCTGCAGAACCCCCAAACACAACCGCCCCCCGTCGAAACCACATCACCATTCCCAATGGACACAATTCCATCCCCCTATCACCGAAAAGCAGGTAAACCTCTTTAAGTGATATACCAGAACATCGCATTCAAAAACCAAACCCTTTACTCTAGCGTTACTATTGCTGGCATTAACAAAAATACAAAACTACCCTCCTGGCCCCCCAAAACCCATCCACCCTGACAACCCTCCCACCCCCCCCTCCACCCAACCCAGGAAAAACGCAAAGGACTGGTCTCCTTTACCGCCACACCTCCTTTCAACCTCAAAGCATCACATGTAACAACCTATAACCTTTTAACAACTCAAATCCTAACCTATGGTTATGTTCCTGCCCAAAAAAG